ATGCCTAAGAGCATACCAACGGTTCTCTCTAGGTTTTGCTCTTCTCATTGAATCCGTCCGGAGAAAAATCCCAGCCCCTTTTTCTGCCCCCACCCCCCCCGCGGGTCCCTTTTTGTCCTTGAGTACCATTTCCAATTACTCCCTTTTTTATCTTTATTATTGGTCTTTTTCCTAAAATAAAGCTTCCTCCCTCTTTCATATGTGATTGTGTAGTATTTATCTTGTGTAATATTTATGGTGAGCAAGCTATGGTTTTTTGTCATGTAGTGGGATGAAAATTGCCATGAAAGTGGGTGGTGAATGATTTATGGAGCGGGTAGGAATGATGAAGTGGTAGAATATTATTTAAACAATGCTATTTTTACTAAATTAAAATTGTAAAATAAAATACTAATTAGCTACTTTTAATTTAAAAATAATAAAAGAATAATTCAAAATAGTTAACTTACTAAAATTAAAGAAAATAATATTTTTTTGGTGATTCTTCTTTCCTTTTGTAAATGAAACAAAACTTACACTAAAAATGTGACTTTTTTTATGGTTTTTATTTTTTTAAATAAAACCCACTAAATTGAAATAAAAAGTCTAAAAATCAAGGTAAAGAGTCTAAAAAGAAAAAATTTACGCTAAAAGATTGCAAAAGTCGTCGGTCTAAAATTAGGTGCTCGCATATAGCAGTGCAGTGTATAAAAATAGTGTAAGATGATGGCAATTACCGAATATAATTTGTAGCAAAACACATTGCTTCCCCACTAATTGATCGAAGTATCAAACGCTGAAAGAAATCATAAGATGGCTTCATCATCTCCTAATCCCACCCCTTCTGCATCCATAATCTCAGAGAAGCTAATCAAACCCTCCTCTCTAGCTTCTCCTACTAAAAGATGGCACAAGCTCTCCTATCTTGATCAAGCCTTTAGTAACATATACATTCCCTTTGCACTTTTCTACACCAAAAAACAACTAGATGGTGTTTCAGTGAATCCTACTAAAATATCTTATATTCTTGAAGACTCATTATCCAATACACTATCGTCATATTATTGAAAGACTTAAGGATAATACTATTGTGGATTGTAATGATGCTGGTGCTGAGTTTGTACAAGTCCAAATCAATTCCCCTATATCTGAATCACTTCAATAGCATAATAATGCTTTTGAAGAGAGATATTTCCACAAGGGTTGCCTTGGTCTAGTTGTACAAATCGTGCATTAGTTGCAACTGAAATCAGCTACTTCAATTGTGGAGGAATAGTTGTCAGCATGTGTATATCCAACAAAGTTGGAGATAGACACAGTGGTTACAATCTTTTTAAGGACTGGGCTATCACATCTCGCGAGCCAAATCAGTCAACAAAACCTTGTCTGTACAATGTCGAAGAATCCATCTTTCCTCCGCCACCTAGTGGTCCTTTCCTATCCCCACATTGCACATCCAACAAAGATGAAAGCATTCACAGAAGATACACTTTTTCTGGCCAAAAACTTGATGAACTTAAGGCCTCAGTAGCTGCTAAATCAAGTGTCAAAAATCCATCGCGCAATGAAGTTGTCAGTGCACTTCTCTTTAAAAGTTCCGCTGCTGCAGTAAAAGCAAACTCTGGTAATCCATTCCAACCATAGGTTATGACTCAAACATTTGACTTGCGAGAGCAAATTGGTTTGCCGCCTGTATGGGTCAGAATCCGATCTCACGGTAATTAACGGAGTTAATCTCGTCTTGAGCTAATCCATAATTAATAAGTGGTATGGCCACTTATTCATAACAGGATTCGACTCTTGTCCGATTTAATCTACGAGGGCACGGCCCAGTCATTCCCCCATGGGGACGGAACCTCAGTGTGGCCACGGCCATTTATTGCCAGCTCACGAAGCTCACATCTATAAATACTAAGAGTGGAAGCCCTAGAAGGGGGGCTGCTTCTTCACCACTATTCACAAAAGAGAGAGAGAAGAGAAAAATATACCCATCTTATGGGAAGAGAAAACACCATTGTAAGGCTCTGAACCTCTTCATGGAGAGGCAGACCAAACCAATATTATCAATAAAAGCTGTTAAGATTTCTTCTCCTAACCTTGAGTACTTATTTTCATGTTCTTCGCTTGGTCCAATGAATTATTACGATTTGCTATGATTTTCCCGTAACTTATTTGTATTGTTTTGCACTCATAAAGCACACGATAACTTTTGAGCAAACACCGCCCAATTCTATTGGATTTATTGTGACAGTGGCTTTCATATCCATACTCACTGAGGAAGATATGACATTATCAAATATAGTGACCGAAATGAGAAAGGAAAAGCAACATGTCTGCAGTAAAGATAATGTCAGAAATAATCTACTTCTTAAAGAGTTTCTTGAGCTAGAATCAAAAGAGAGAACTTTCTTCAAAACTCAAGAAAATCCATTTCATTTTAGCAGCTTAGTGAAATTTCCACTTCATGGAATCAATTTTGGCTGGGGGAAGCCTGCAAAAGTGAGCATACCAAATGGCCCAAATAACAGATTAATCATCTTGGTGGGTAACCTAAGTGGTGGAATTGATGCAGTTGTGTCACTGAGGGAGCAAGATATCTCTGTCTTTGAACATGACGCGGAGCTTCTCAAATTTGCTATTCCAGTTCCAAATTTTTAGAGGATAAACACCATGTTTTTGTTTGTGTGTGTCGTATTTTTTAATGTAATAAGCTTGTCGCAAAATATACTTTTGCTGTTGAGTTCGCTACTGGATCATAGTTGTCTTTTATTGATCTTCAATGTATACATCTTCAGGACTACAGAATAAAGGATAGCAAACACTTGTTTTTGGAGTCCGAAATTTTTTTGGTGATTTTTTTGGACAAAAAGCACATTTTTAATGTTAAAAAAAAAAAAAAAGTTACACAAATAGGCACTTCGCAGTACTATACTGTGAATTGACTTAACGAAAATTTAGCCGTTAAGCTAATTCGCATTAGAGTACTGCGAATTAATAAAAAAAAATTTTTTTTTTTTACAATTCGCAGTTCTATACTGCGAATTGCTTAAAATGGGCCCAACTCTATTTTCAATAGTCAATTCGCAGAATTATACTGCGAATTAGTAATTCGCAGTATAATACTGCGAATTGCCTTTTGAAAATATAACCCTTCTTCTTCCTTGGACCGACAGAAACGATCCCCCACCCCATTAAAATAGTCCTCTGCTCCAAATCTGGTCCCCACCCCCCGTGAATTTTTTAAAAAAAAAAAATTCGGCCCCACCCGTCATCTAAAGAGCAAGGAGTGTAGGTCCCAGGCACAAGACAAGCTTTGGATTCCTTCTTTCGAGTGTAAAAATTCCATTTCAATCAAATTCAAAAAACTTAAATCGAGGTATTTCGATTTTATTTATGTCGAAACTCGTATAGTACATGCATATTTGTATTGTTTAATGTGTTTCCAGGAGCTTCAAGAAGCTCGTTTTCACTGCACAAAAAGAACAAAAAGATAAGTTACCCAAAACTCCGGAAAAATACTTTAGATATAGCTATATCGCTTTACTTACAAATCGTACTGTCTTGACGTTTCATGATGGATATTTTCTTGTTGGTGATTACTCCCGGATGGACCACCGTGGTCCAATACTCCAGAACTACGCATATTCCAACTAAGGGCGGGGTCATAACTTGTAAAATTCATATCCGGACAGTACCCCCTATGAAAAATATGAGTGTTAATACAAATCCAATTAAAACATAAAATAAACATCGCTAAAGCATAGTAAAATTGAAGTTTACCAGTCGTCTTGTTGATTATATAAAGTCGAAAAATTATTTTGTGGCTGCTCATTCGCCGGTGGTGACAAGTTTAAATCAAGGCAAGCTCTTTCATCAGCAATCTGTCCGGCAAAAACTGCTCCAGAATAACCACCCGATGACCGGGGGTTATCCCTACTACGCACGCCCTCATTATTGGGAACGTCTTCCACCTTGACATACATTTCCAATAATTTTATTTCAATAAATTCCCTATATTCATCCGGAATCCGGAAAAAATCTCTAAGAGTTTCATCATCCTCGATGTTAAACTCAGAATAATAAGCAAAGCCCTGCGGAGTCACTGAATACGGAAATCTACCGGTTACTTTAAGGTTAACCGAACGCCTCCTCTCACTCATTTTTTTACGTAACAACGATACCAATGTATCGTACTCCATAGTAAGCGGCAATTTAACATGACACTGTGGAGGTGAGCTATACCTCACAGAGTTATTCTCCAGCACAACCTCACCCCCCCCCCCTCCCAATATAATGAAACCCTTATTTTTGGCTCTTCAGACATTGTACAAAAATGATTGATAAGAAGAAGAGAGAAGTATGAACGGAAGTTTGAGTTTGTATTGAATGAATTTTCATAAATCTGAAACGCCTTTAAATAAGGCAAGGTGCAGAATTTTTTTTAAGTATTTCGCAGTACAATACTACGTTTTATATGTATGAATTATTGTTATGTCAGTTAATTATTGGTGGGGGCCAAATTAATAAAAAAAAATACCTAATTCGCAGTATAGTACTGCGAATTAGCAAAAAAAAAAAATTTTATGATACGCAGTAGAATACTGCAAATCAATAATTTTTTAACTAATTCGCAGTAGAGTACTGCGCATTAATTAAAAAAAAAATTTATTAATTCCCAGTACTCTACTGCGAATTAGCTTAACGGCTAAATTTCCGTTAAGTCAATTCGCAGTATAGTACTGCGAAGTACCTATTTGTGTAACTTTTTTTTTAGCATTAAAAATGTGCTTTTTGTCCAAAAAAGCGTCAAAAAAGTTTCGGACTCCTTGTTTTTGGGTAAATTCAAAAAGTACCACTGATTACTGCAAAAGGAGCTCGAAGATAATCGCATCTTATGGGGCCAAAAGCTACTCCTTTTGAGGAATATTTACATTTTGGTATCTATATTTGCCACAGAAGTGAATGGAAACACAGCTGCCCAAGTATGGGCGGGTTGGGTGAGGGGGGAGGGAGAGAGAGACTGAAAAAGAATCAGACTGAAGATATAATAGAGCCCTTGAACAATGTGAATCATTAATTTCTAATTTAGAATGGCAGATGCCACTGTATGACCTCTATAACACATTAAATTAGCGAATCTTACCCTTAAAAGACAAAACAGTCATCTAGCCACGATAACATTAAGAAAACAGAAATTGAAAATTTGGAGATGTAGATCCAGCCACAAAGCTGTATCACTACCAAATCCATTGCTAGATTGTGAAATATTGTCACACGGGTATTCAGCTTCTAGTAGAATCATTGTCTTGGCTTTGGAATTGCTCTAGTATTAGGTTACAATTGTTGATTCCACGCGCATCAATAAGGCCATGGTTCCACAGTTTGATCATGAATAATCTCCAGCACCTGCCATAAAACATTGAATTATACATAAAAGCTACAGTAGAGATGAGGAAAAACAGAGTACATGCTACTGTAGATGATGAGCAATTATCACATATTGAGATAGACCTAAATCAGCAATTTTAAGGGAAACCCAGTGCCCCTAAACTGTCTAGACGTTTGTTGATGGCACTATTACAACTTCATCAGATCTGAGAAAACATGTATTTATGTGACAAAACCAACAATAAATTTGTTTCCATGAGTAAAGAAAAATGAGCCACCCAAAAAAATGTAAATAAGATAAACAAGCTCAGAAATTCCCAATAAGCATCGTGATCATGAAATAGACCAACATTCTAATTTAGAGTGTTCAACAAAATACAGAGCAGTTTCTTTCTGGGAAACATACAGGATCTCAGGTGAACCAAAGAAAGGCACGATACAGGTGTATGGATTGGATAGCATCGGATAGAAATAACAGTGAAATGTCAACACAGGTAACTAAGAAGATTAATTACCACAGCAAGGCTGGTGCTCGGGCGAACTCCTCACCATGCAGCTTTGAAAAAGCCTCACATGCCCAAGGAATGTGACCATCTGCCAACACCCTGCCACAGTAACAAGAAAGATGTTATACAAATATAAAAATATAAAAAATAAAGAGGAAAGGTCGCACTTCAAAATAAACTGAGACTCAAAATTAACAAATTTCTGAAACTAAAGGGGAATGAGACAAGAAACAAACTCATCGTAAACCAACTTGAATTAGAAGCTTCTCTATAGTACTTAAGCTCCTCTTCTCACCCCCAGACCCACACAATCCTCTTGTTCTACCATCAATTCTCCCTCTGTTGCTCTTTACAGCCAGCAGGAAGGGAATTCAGCAACAGAACTTTTCCAACAGGCATCCCTTTATCACCAACAAGTATGTAATTCAGCACGAGAAAACCACACTTGTTGTCCTTTGTTGCTTTATACAACTTTCGTTTTTGCTTAATATATTATTATTCTGATAATCTTACCAGTCTACTTGTGCATGAAGCGGGAAGAAAGACAGACCCAACTTCAAAACACATTTACTTCAGTGAGAAGTTCGTGTGACTTAATAAGAACAGAGAAAACAGGTTAGCTGCTTCTCCAAAACCCTTAAATGACGCAGCATTTTCCAGAAGTTCTCAAAAAATGTCTATTTGAGAGCATCAGATCAAGGACGGCCTTCTCTTTTTCAAGGAACTCTTCTTTTGTCTTTCTCTTTTCCTATTTCCCAGGCAGTAGATGAGGTACAAGGTGATGTCACTCTCGTACCGAAACTAGCAAGTTGGGTGGCAACGAATGGCATTTACTCACTAATATAACACTGTTTTTGGATAAACGAAGATGAAAGGTAGTGGAAGGAAGAGGTGGACTGGTCTTCTACTTCCCTAAAAACAGTTGCCATGCCCTTCTCTTTTGCACAATGGTAAAGAAGTAAATGAGACTTACCTTCTTTTCACTCCACCTATTTCGGGGAAGGTTGGAGAAGCTAATTGCAGATTGTTGCACTTTTAATACATTCCTAAGTTATCCACCATCTACTATTACTTCACAGGCCCTCCCTCTTCACCCAAACAAAAATAAGAGCGTGCGATACACACGTCTCCATACCCCAGCACTCCGGATAATAATAGGAAAAACGATACAAGCAAATCAAACCAGATACTAAATAAGACAGTACCTTTGCTTTCTAACAAATGAGTTCCATAGATGCATCATTTGCTTCTCATCTTTGGTAACATCCACGAAATCATCAAGCATCTGTAATATGTCTGAAGTTAGTTGAATGATTTCTTCAAATAACTTATAGAATCAAAATCTTGCCTCTTGAATTAACAAAATTTTGCAGCAGTTCCCAAGGGAAATCAGTTGGAGGGAACAGTTTGGGTAACCTTCCGTAGTTCTCAAACGCATTATATTAGCAGCTTAAGGAGTTCCATGATTCTGCCTAACATTCAAGTTGAGACAATACAGTTCCTTCAAATGACAAGCTAATATTGGGCAAAAAACGTTTATCATCCAGTTAGAACCAGACATCAAACCACATCTTTCCCTAGTTGGTTTCAGTGGTCGATATTCATCCAAACCATTCAAAATACCATTTTCATTCATTTGAGGCAAAACCAAAGGCGATTTGCCTAGTCTGAATCAGATTTAAGGAAAATGGTGGATCATGAATAAATACATTCTGCAAAATGCCCAGACCTTGATTTTAGTTTTAAGCAATTAGAAGATATATCCTTTAGATCAATGAAATTTACAACTTATCAAAAGTTTACGTCATTAAATGAGATTTTGATTCAATTACTCAGCTGTTAAGAAAATTACAACAGCAGCAGCAGCAACCCATATGGACGCTACTGCTTGCTGATAATTTTCAAAACTCTAGTATATATGGGACAATATAACTCACTGATGCAATATATAGAAATATAGTAAATATGTCCCTCCAGGATCATGAATAGATAACATTCTGCAAAATGCTCAGACCTTTCTCCTCTACCCTTATCCCCTTCCCAAGTGTCCTTCCTCATGTCCTGGCCCCTCAATGACAACGACCCGCCTCAAGCCCACCACCTCCCACCAAAAAAAACTGCATTGATACTGATGATGGTCTGCCTGCCTCCATTCACCCTCGATGATGACGATCTTCCTCCACTGTCACACAGTGGCAATCTCCACTTCTAAATATCTGATTAAATTTTCTGTAATTCGGTTATTCAGCTTTTCTGGAACTTCTCATCAGCAATCCTTTTTTCTGAATGTCTTATGATTTATAATCGTGCTTTTCTAGCCCTCTTTCTTTTTCTTTGGACGCGCTTTGTAGTATTTTCACCATTTTTACTATGATCTCTTTTTGCAAATTGTTCATTTTCTACATTTTTCCTTTATTTATCAGAGTTTTATACAAATGTTATTGCTCTCTCTCTCTCTTCTTTTTGCTAGATTTTTATTTCTTCTCCTGCTATACGTGTTTTATTGTAAGTTCTTTTAGTTGGACGCTTGAATTGTTAGTGTGTAGGATTTGTGATGATCAAAGTAGGATGCCCATGGAATTATTAGAAGAAATAGATGCAGCACTTTGCAATTAAAATATCGACTTGTGGCACAGGGTATTCATAGAGCTAATTGTGATCTGCTTGTGACGAAAATGTGGACTGCATAACTGCAGGAGAAGTGCAATCCGGTCATTGGCCTGGTATAAAAAAATGGAAAGTAGTCCAGCTAATAATACCGTCACCGTAACCAAATTACGGTTAGTAAGTGCTGTTTGGCGCACCAAACGACCCTTTATAAATTAATCCCTTTACTTTCAAGCCCAAAATTTGGAAGACCCAATTTGAGAATGAAGAGAGTAATTTTGAATGGCATAATAAGTTCAGTTAATACCCCTTATCAAAAAATAAGTTAAGTTAATACAATATACTTAAGATAATTGTTACAACGAACGAAAGTGGGAAAGTTTAATAAGAGGATATAACAAGTTGTTAAGAGAGCAAGTTGTTGCCATTTATTTGAAGGGTCAAGACAATTAGGACAAAACTATCCCAAAAAGTCAGCCAATTAATTTGGATGCAGAGTAAAACAAAGAAGCAAACTATATAATTATGCTGCATACCCTTCGATCTTCAAGATCTGCAACATCATCATCAACTTCATCCTCACTGTCTCGATCTGATAAAACCTGCTCCAGTGCCATGGGCTTCACCCCAATAAAAAATTTCATTAGCAAACATATGGTTTAAAGGACTCCTCATTGCTTCCCAGATTTCTAAAGACATATATTGGCCATCAGTTCTTGGAAAGATTTTAAGATTCATTACAAGTAGCCAAACCTTTCAAAATTTATTCAATTTTGTGTCACATTCAGCTAGATAATTCACCTCCAGACCCCAAGAACTGGGGCTATTTCAAATGGAAATCACAACACACAACAGCGGAAGCCAATATTGAACTGTCATTATTTTAGATCTTAAATTTGTTCAAGTGAAATTATATATATATCCAACGAATGATACCCAAACAAGTGAATTTTGCCGCATATCTGATTCAACGAAAAACATGAAAAGTAAACAGGGATAACCCTCAGGGGTTAGCCCGGTGGCAATAGACTTGAGCCTTGGGGTTTGCTCCCTTTCAAGGTCTCAAGTTCGAAACTCACTGGGTGCAAATAATTTCTGAGGGCCATCGGACTGGGTAAAACCTGAATTAACCGTGGTGCACTTGCGGGAAACTCCTTGTCTAGGGCCTGTGTACCCCCGGGATTAGTCGGGGCTCTTAGAGACTCGGACACCCGGTGCAAATCAAAAAAAAAATGAAAAGTAAACCGGGATAGGTTTTTTATAACTTAACAATGTAGGAAGCTTCCAACAATAAACCCAACATGTCAATATATGACTACAAACTCTAGCAGTACTTAGGCAGTGACAAAGCCTTCAGTGGTGGGGCTTTTTGATAAAATTGAAACCTAGAGACCGAAGTCTTGATCATTGAATAATTTAGGTTGCTGAATTTTATCTCTCTCCATTGATTGATATGCAGCTAATCTAAAAAGTAAACTACTTGTTAATGTCTACTATGCTTTTTATTTATTTGAGATTTCTTTTTTTATTTATAATAGGTTAACTTCTGAAAATTCTTAAAATCAGTCGATATAATTGTCAAAGAAATATTATGAACTAAATATCTGAACTACTTGGTTTTAAACATTATATTTATTTGAGATATGTGACATAATGATTTGCTATTCTTCAAATACAGTAACAACTAACAAGCCAGGTTGCCTTAGATTAAATTTAGTAAAGTATTTACATTGATACCATTAAGATTTTTCTGATCCCATAATCAAAGATTTTAAATATCGAATTACTTAGCACAGTGAGTTCCAAGTACTGATTTAATATTTCATAAGCGTTCACACTAAATACATTAGAAGACAAAATTAGTAGTTCTCCACAGGAATAAGGAGTCAGCTGGTAGCTTCGGATCTTTTGTCACCCATGTAAATCCTTCAGTTCCCTCCAAAACACGATAAAGAGAACTCAAAACTACAATGTTCCCCATAGATTTCAAATATTGCTCCGATTCGTCAAATATATAATCCACAAAACATATCTTCTGATATTATTTAATTTATATAAAATTTAAAAAAATAGCTTCCGATACTACTTGAAATATTTAAATGCAGTTCTCAAAATATTTCAGGATCACCAAGGCTTCCTGAAATTATGTATCCCCTAAGTTCAACTCTTGTCATTTTTTTTCAAATGCTTCACCTCCCAACGTGACAAAAACAATGTAAAAAGCTAGAGTCAATTTTGGATGAAGTAACCTTCTTATAAAGAGAAAAGTATAGATTAGAAGATTTAGCTTGTATAAAACGTTATTGGTTTGATACCAATAATGGTAATCGTTTCAGTATCTTAAAGATACATATATATCCCCGATTGAAATTTATTGATAGTACAACATATCTTTCTCGGTGGGTGTGGCTCCCGTGGATGACAAGATTCGGGAAGCGCGGATTAGATGGTTCAGACACAAGCGGAGGAGAAGCCTAGATGCAACGGTTAGGAGATGTGAGCAGTTGACTTTGGCAGGTACTAGAAGAGGCAGAGGGCGGCCTAAGAAGTATTGGGGCGAGGTGATCAGGCAGGACATGGCGCGGCTTCTGATTTCCGAGGACATGGCTCTTGATAGGAACATATGGAGGTCGAGCATTAGGGTGGTGGGCTAGGGGGTAGTCGAGAGTTCTTCCCTCTTTGTACCGGGTAGTCTGATAGAGTTTTGTTAGGTTTGTTAGCGGTCTATGTTGTGTTCACATTGTTGTTTTGCATAGTTTTTGTTAATGTCCTTTCACTTATTCGTCGTCGTTATTTTCTTTCTGGCATCTTTTGTTGTTACATGCCTTTTTTTTTGTTTCTTTTCTGATATTATTGTCTCTCCTGTTGAGCCGAGAGTCTCCCGGAAACAGCTTCTCTACCCTTTTCGGGGTAGGGGTAAGGTCTGCGTACACTCTAATCTCCCCAGACCCCACTAGTGGGATTTTACTGGTATGTTGTTGTTGTTGTGTACAACATACCCTGTCTCGTATAGAGTATCACAAATCCATTTGACCAACTTGGAAACTTACAGGAACTATGTTTTCCTTTTTTGTCCTTCCAAATTCACCATGTGTAATACAAGTTGTACTTCAACTAATTAAGCTACAGAAATTTTTTCTTCAATTAGGATACAATTAACTAAACAAGCTGCAGAATGTCTGGCTTCCTAGTTACAACTATATGCATGAATCATTCTGTAAAGAAGTGATAGGTCAATACGTTTTTAATGCAAAGAACATAATAGTACTCAAGGAATAGGTTCCTTTTTTCAGTTAAGTAAATGTGATAAATAAAGAAGCACTCAAGGAGCATGCAACCCGTAAACAAAATATGTATGCAATTTCTCAAGGAAAAATACATGATGGCTACACATTCTCCACTTTTTGATTCATTTTTTTGACAGATATTAATGTAGTATGCTACTTCATTTTTCAAATATCACAGATGACACACATGATCAAATAGTTCTAACATTAGAAACAAATAATCATTCAAAACTTGACTGCAGTGAATCAGAAAATTATCCCATGTTTCCTTCCGGATAAATGAACACCATCCCGTGTTGTCATATCCAGCGCGCTCACAAGTTGGTTAACGACTTTAAGATGCCAATTGATCCTCTCATATACCAAGTATAAATTGGTCATCATCTATATTTTTTAAGAAGGCCATAATATATAGTTGCGAAGAGGTAATCCATCATTGACTGATAGGATACTCTGCTTCAGCCTTGGGTCAATTACACAACCTATCAAGCAAGTTGACTTGACCAAAAGCAGACATATTGGCACACTGACTGTGAATTTTTATGTGCAACGTCCACTCTGTAAGACTCTAAGACAACTGTATACATTGAGTATATACAAAATAAGCCTGATTGTTAAGCATTTCACATTCTAGTCCATCATCAGTAGGAATAGCAGTTGCTTTATGCAGAAGCAAAAAGAAATTCTAAGATCCCAGAGCACAAGGTAAGAAATTGATTACCTGGGCTCTATGAGAATGAAAGAATTGCCTTTTTTGCAGGAGTGCACGACTGTAAAAGAAAAAACAACATTGTATTAAAAGCCAGACAATCTTATCTACGAACTATAAAGGTAAACCATAATACAGAAAATTTGTGTAGTCAATTTTCTCCCAACTAGTATCACATCAAAGACATTAAGCAAAATCAAGAAACACAGAAATCCAGATAATACAGAAAAGCATCACTGGACAGTCTCAATACAATTAATTTTTAGCATTCTTAACCAAGACAAAAACCAGTCCTAACTCTGTTGCATATAAGCTAAAATACAATTTAACAGCAGACAGAGAAAGAGAGGGAAAGGGTTCGACGCATCCATCAAAAGGGAAGTAAACCGCAGTCAACGAGAAACTCAAAACACAAGTGTACCATCAAACTACAGAATGGATAGTTGAGAACCAGTCCGTCTTGCCAATACTAAAATCGTGATCATGGTCTAGGTTTCTGATAAAGTTAAGATTGAGGCTATTAAAAGACAGAACAGAAAACCACCATTACTAGGCACTAGACCTAAGGCAAAGACCACATTTGAAGATGGTGGCACCCTTGAATTTTTTGAAACACTAGAGGGCTAGTATATCCTTCATAGATACACCTTCACAACTGCCGTAGGTCCAAGTTGGATACAGCGACCCTACCGGTCACTAAACTAGAGGCCAAGAGAGAATTTGAAGGTATGGGGCACCATCGAATTATTGAGAAAAAACTAAAGGGAGGAAGTATGTCTTTCACAATAATTTCCAAAAATTCTCAAAATTATAGACATCAAAACCTCAAATTTACAAAACATGGGCATGTTACACCCCACCTCCCAAAAACAAGCACCATAACTGCAGTAGGCTCAATGGGGTACAGTCATAAAAGGGAAATAATAGCTCCAAATTAGACAGCCAATAATCCACAGTAAAGTTCAAGCGATTAATGCCAACTGCAGCAAACAAAGTCTGCTAATTGATGATTTATTGGACCCGGTACTGAAGATCTGCAGTGAAATCTTTTCCACCCAAAATAATTTGGTTAAAAAAAATGCTACTCAACACTGTGCCGTCGAACATACTTTCTGGGATCAGAGCGCTCAACTGATAACTTTCTTGACTTGGCAAACTGAAGCAGTGCTGGGGGTGCAAGAGTGCTTCCTGGTACTGATTGCACAGAGTCAGGATCTGGATACAAGTGACCAGTTGCAGAAGAAACGCCTGCACCATTGGGACTTGATGGATCACACTCTACAGCCTCAGCAACACCTGATATATATTCAACAAAAGTGTCCACAAATGAGCAGAATGGCAGCAGTTATTTCATGAAATTCTTCTCCAATAATCATGCAAAGTGCTAGAGGAATAAGCCACATCTTACAACTTGCTACAAGTTGTATGAAAAGAAAAGAACACTACCCCCCTTACCTCCCTCCTCTCAAATAACACAAATAACAGAAAGTCAATACTGCTGGAACAATAGTTAAACAGAAGTTAATGGCATTCAACAGTTGGGCTGGCAGAAAGACACCAATATTTCAGATTATACCGTTAGATTATGCCACTTAGTAACTTGGTAAATTTTCTCCTCTTCCATCAAGCAATTATGTAATTAACTTTGCAAACCAAGAATCTGAGTTAGCAAATGAGTGGACATTAGGACTAAAATTGACTTGGCAGATATTCAAACCTATGCATTTTGGATTGTGAATTGTGGTTTGAGTCCAGAGTTACTTAGGAAAATTTCAAGGGGAAATTGAACAGAACTCAAGTTGTAACAGCCCATGGACCGCTCGCGTTGAACTCAAAAGGGGTTTGCTGTGAAATTTGTCTTAGGCAAACCCCACATCGCCTCATAAAAATGGGAGGGGAAGTTAGGGGCCACGTGAGGATGAGTTCAAGATTCAACTGTAGAGACGCCTTTTGGGTTAAAGCCCAAAGGGGACAAAACCGTGAGGCCCAAAAGCTTTTGCGATGGCCCAGATGGATTGGGCCAAAGTGGACAATACTTTGTCAGCAGGCCTGGGCCGTTACACATACCATGCATCTGGGACACGCTCGAGCAGTTGGGCCATGCGTCTCATGATACGCCCCACCTATGCCGCAAGATGATTGGCATTCACCTTGCACTGGGGCACGCAACAGTTCCACCGGTTAAACATTGGAACAAATAACTCACATATACATAAATGCAAAAGCTAAAAACCCTCTTCTATATAAGCGCGTTTAGCTACATAAAAGATCATCGCTCCCTCGGCAAGTACCATAAGAGAGAAGGAGGCGGTTGATGTAGCTTAAACCTATCCACTACTCCCTTGTAACCCTCCCACCCTAATAACAAGGAGAGAGACTGGGTGCATATGGTCAAACATTCAATGGTTGATTTTTTTCCATTTTGCTTTCACCTTCCTACTTTCTTCCCATTTACCGGATACTTTTGTTTTCTTTCAACTACTGTTACGCTGATCAGAATTTAATTTTTAATATTATAAATGCACACAAGCATGTGTGCACTTGGTTGAAATTTATATAATCATTATTCCACCATGATACATTGATAACTGAGAAATACACGAGGTATGGGTGGCTAATATGCCGAGTCAAGTCAACTAGGCACACCACTGGCACACAAAAGAACCGGACCGACCCGGCCCCACATATAGGAAAGGGGGTTAGAGTGCTCTGGTGCAGGTTAGGGGGCTAGAGTGGGCTGGTATACTTTGGCTCAGAACCAGGACCAGCCCACATATAGTAAAATTGGTCACCGCCGCACACTAACTCACCAATTTTGTTTCCTTGGTCAAAAACCTGTTCGTTGGAAACGGAGAACTTTCAACGTTGGCCATTGCTTAAGGCCTAAACGGCTAAATCAGCACCTCAACCCCCAAAACATCCCCACCCCTCCCAAAAAATTATATTATTAACCCCCTACTAAGAAAGTTACACTTTGGCCCTATTGTTAAACAAGATAATAAACCAAACTCTTCTTAACATTTTGAAACGGTAGAAGGATAACTTAAAACAATTTCCTGTTCTTTCGAAAATGGCTCGAGATGTGCTTTTAGTTTCAACCATGGCGTCAGAAAGTGCTTTTAGCCAAACAAGGATGTAGTTTGGAGACAACAAACACTCATTGGTTAGGCCAGCATTGAAAACACTAGTCTGTTTAAGAGATTGGGTTAGAGCGAAAAAATCCAAAAAAATCAAGCATAGAGGAAAAGCAACCGGAGTAGGGGTGCTTATCGGGCGGTTCGATTGGATATATGTGCTAAACGGTTCGGCTTAGCGGTTATCGATTTTCAAATGTACTAAACCGCTAACCTAACGCATAAGATATTGGTTGGTTCAGTTTTGATTTAGCAGTTATCGGTAATGTACACAAGATATATATTCCATCGACCAAAAATTCAAAAATGAGAAACAATTGGAATGTCATTTTGGATTGAATGATATTCCAAATCGCATTCAAGGCTTAAATTAATAAGCTTTAGATTCTGATTTAGAGTATCCAAGATTTAAAAAAACAAATTGAAGAAGAAAAACTAAGAACCTGGCCCTGCTTGGCTAATGGCATTGATAGTGAATCTTCCCTTCCCTTGTTTTAGAATTACAAAAAGTAAGATGTACTCAAGGCAAATCGAGCTCAATGGAACAAAAGAAGAGGGGATTTTTCTTAACTTGTCAACTTGGTTAATCGTGGACAAAGAAACATATCTGATATTGGAAGCTGGAATGGAAATTGGAGAACATCGGTGGACAGTCGGCTGGAGTCGGAGGCTGGAGGCTTGGAGAAGTGGAGCTGAGCGAAGGGCTTTAGGGTTTTTAAAGATACTTTATATACATGGGGTAGAAATATAAATCTAATAATTCTTAATGGGCTGACAGCTAAACCAATAAGGAAAACAAGCAAACCGCTACTATAAACCGTTAACTAGAAAATTCGAAACCGTTTCCCAACCGTTCAGCCGATAATCCGATACCAATAAATCGATTTATGGTTCGGTTTTGGACAGCCCTAGACCAGAAGATGAAGCACATGAAGACGTCATGACGATGTCATCTGACCAAAGTGGCGAGAAGTGACAATCAAGATAGTCCGATACCAACTAATCCTACTCGAATTGATATTGAGGAGATGACTAATTCTTTTAGAAACTTTTGATATTCTTTGTTCATCTATTGTATTTTGAAGTTCCTCTTTATTTCTTTTACTTCAATAGAAACTCTTGAGTCTTGTTGTAATTTGCAAGTTTAATGATCAAAAATGAAAACACAAATTTGCAATTTGTATACTTAAAAAATCTAAGGCTAATTTAGCTTCTGAGGTTTTTTTTTTCAAATTTGTATCCAAATACAAAATAATACTTTAACTTCAGTTTAGTAGTTTCTCATTTTTTACTTCATCATATTTTAAAGTTTAAATTGGAAACTCTTGTAGTAGAATGTAAGTTAGTAAGTAATTTGCAAGTTCAGTTTAAACAATAAAGTTAGTTTGCAATTTGTAAGTTTAAACTTAATAAAATTAAAACTTTGAGCCTTTGAGGAAATGTATCCAAATACCAAAATTCCAAATCCAGTTCTTCAATTCACTCTTTACCTTTTGTATTTAAATTAAAAGGTTGTAAAAAAAATTCCCAACACACATTTCCAACACATTAACCCGGCCCAGTTAACCCAGACCCCCAGCCCACATCCTTAAGAGGTCGTGAATGGAGTGTGCTCAACTTTTGGCCCAAAGAGCTAGCCCACAATCCGGCACACAAAGGGAAGACCAACGCGACTCGGCACACTAGCTCAATGTGCCTTCGCTTAATGTGTTGGGTTGGGCCTGGCCTAGCCCACATGCCAACCATGCCCTGAGGGGGCCAGTAGCACACAAATTCCACCAAGGTAATTTGCAAAGTCTTCAATGAGTGACGAGTGTATAAAGGGAACATCTGCTACCATTTTGCATAGGCAAGACAATTTTAATTTTTTTATGGCAAAGTATGCAAGGAAAAATCATCTAGGAAGTTCCTTATCTACAAGAAGTCAAGAACCAAACAAATTTGCACTTTCAGACAACAACTATGCACCTTTCAACCACAACAACAACAAACCCAGTATAACCCCACATAGTGAGGCCTGGGGAGGGTAGTATATACGCAGCCTTACCCCTACCTTGTTGAGATAGAGAGGCAGTTTCCAATAGATCAACTATGCACCTTTAACGTACAAAAAAGATGTCGGTGATACTTTGACAAGTAATATTCATTTACATGTATCCATTAAGAAACCATGATCTACCACACTTACAAAGGAACACAGAACTAACAACAAATTGAATAATCCAACGAATACAATGGGTCATCATTACCATTAATCTTGTCATTGAGCCCATTTGTTGATGTAGGGAAATCTGAATCTAAAACAAGTGGGTGCACATACTTTGAATTTTGAAATAAATCCTGCCGTTTCCTCCGTCTTAGTGGCTTTGAACTGAGAACAAATTACAGGTAAACCAGTAGAATCTCATAACATACTTCTGAAATAACATCAAATAGCTAATAAACAAACTGAAGGAGCATGATAGTTACATACCAAAAGAAGAATGTTTGTTGCTTAGGATCAACGCCATTAGCAACAATCTGAACAGCAGTCCAGAAAGAAAATTAATTCACACAGTAGAAAAAGCATGACTATGAGATTAGTCAAGCAAGTTCAAGTATCTGAAATGAATTAAATAATAGAGAACTGACTTCTCAAACATTTGCCTAACAAAGTTATAGAGACCGTTAGAATCTAACAAGGTATCATACAAATAAAATACATGACCTTATGAAGGAAATTCACCATTAAACTCTATCGCTTTCTTTTTCATCAAGAACCCAGTAAAGCTTCCTAGAAGATCAATTGCAGACACAATTACAGAAATCAAAATACCTAAAATAAGAGATTAGCATCCATCTCCTACAGTCATATCGAGAAAACTACTTTGCATTGTAGCAGATTTACACTCAGAGCAGATATTACAGACCATATAAGATTCACCTCCGAGTTAAAAGAAAAAGAGCTGACCTCAGATCTCCACATGTCACTTCTCACAGATACATTTACAGCTTGATATTCTTCATTTACCTACAAATGATATGAGGTTAAATTTGACAGCTCTGACAAAACACACAATTAAAATTTAATTTGAAGCTTGCTGAAGTTTACCAACCCAAAATTCAAAGTTGAACAAATCGTGAGATGAGCATAAGTGATATCTCAAACCCTAAAACCAGAAAAGCAAAGATACAAAAATATTAAACTATTTATTTAGTCAATCTAAACCAAATTTCTCGCCCAAACCATTTCAGGGTGGATACAGTATAGCTTAGTTTAGTTAAAGAAACAAAAGAAGATTATCCCAGTCTTTACCTTAAAGCTGGCACATTTTACCAAGCAGAGAGGACAGGTGAAGCCCTCAGTCACTGCAATTTAGAGAAAATAGCAACTAAGTAGCTTGAATGTGTATGGAAGGAATTTGATCAAGGCAAAGAAAACCGCTCATATAGAAGAAAGTAATGCAAATTTCATCAATTTCACCATTCTAAAATCCATAACTGCACGCAGACCAAGGGCTGAATATATCTTGATAAATGTAGGATGCTGACAATTCAAACAGATCGGTTTGACATAGGAAAGACTAAAGTCTGACTAGTAAGTTGGAGACCTTTAGTTGCTTGCTCCTACAATTAATTTCAAAATGACATATGCTGTCCACTATTTTGCTTTATTATGCCCCGATTTCTAACGTTGTGACTAAGAGATTGTACTCAAAATTTGACGTTAGCCTGCATTTACATGACCCAACAACATGAAGAATTCATGTCAGTAAAGGAAGGGAGGGTACATCAAAGTAGTGAGACAACAAAATACCAGTGAGTTCAGGATGCAGTTTAGGCAAGAACATTTCATTTTGAAGAGAACAACAAAATGCAGCTGATCTTTTAACTGGAAAAGAAGCCTGCTTTAATCATTTGAAATCCATCAAAATAACAGAAACCCTTTATAAAACAAAACTAACCAACAGAGTCTGAGCTGAGTTCAAAAGCACAAGAAAATAGAAACTAACCACCGAGAGCACACCAATGATATCAGTGGCAATATCACGATAAATGAAATGAAACCAGTTAAATATGAAGTCAAACAATCCATAGCTTCACCATAAAATGAAGAATTATTACCTTCTGTTCTCTGCAACTTGTTGTTATAGTACCTATAGTTGAAGACAACATTTCCTGTCCTCAACCTAAAAAGCGCGATAAATAAAAGGATTAGCTACATGTCTACCTCACAATGCACATGTAAATTATTGGATCTCTTTAATTTAATAGAGAGCTAAGTCCCCACTTCCAAAATTCTCTATAAACAAAAGGAAAGAAAAGAAAAGAACTGTTTTTTTTTTCTTTTATAGGTAAGGATATGTTGTTTTCTAAGGAGAAAATGAAAATTTGAAAGGGGACAAGCAGACAAAAATGAGCAATCTTTCAAAACCACAGAGAGCATGGTTCGATATTTAGCATTTTTATGATATTGAGTTTCGTCACTGCATTCACATTGGGAAACAAGATGGATCCCCAGGCTTTATCGGTTGAATATGTTGAATCAATTACAAATGAGTGAAGTTAGCAAAGATGGGTAAGAATGACAAGATCTATCAAACATGCACAAAACTTGCTGGGAATATAAGGGGAAAAGTTAATCCTGCTCTAACAAGGTAGATATACACCAGTACAATTTTGGGGATCTATCAGTAACTTTTGCTAGAGCAGTATGGCCCTGAATGCTGAAATGAGCTAAAGAGCCAAATTTACCTAGTGGCACAGGCTTAAATAAGCAATAAACTGAATGCAAATAGGTGCAGGGAGGAAGAGTTAACACAATGCTGGACAATGTTGGAAATATCGGTGTCAACAACAGTAGTACTGATAATTTCTTGTACAGCTAGGTAAAAAGAGCATTGCATAAAGAGAAATACAATAAAGGCAATACACATGACAAAATAGAAACACAGTGCAGAAAAGAGACCAGAAATTGGTAACTTCACCGTATTATTCGAGGCAATGAAGTCGTAGGAATGTCATCATAGGAGAAAGAATCATAAGCTGATTTTTCTCCTGCACCAACTTCTTCTGCAGCAATTTTGACTTGCAGCTGCTGTATTGTTGCCTTTCATAATCCAAACATTATTCAAGAAAATCAATTATAAGCAAAGAGATGAAAAATCTTTTACTACAATTTTCAAGAACATAAGCACTGAGTACAAAAATGACCTACCAGAGCCGCAGAACTACGGGGATACTGAAAGGAAATATGTCTGTCTTTGTCCAAACAGCTTGTCTGCAGATGAAGACACAATAGCCATCAGAGAAGATGGTTCCTCTTGTTATTCTTTTTTTCTTTCCTTTCAATCAGAAATACTTCAGCAATGCCCTTTCAGCATCATTTGCCCAGAAGAACTAGCCTCTGCATAATATCTTGCAATGCCCACTATGAACGGATTCAACATCATGAAACACTAAGTGAAAACAGTCTACGTAGAAGACGCAACCTCTCTACCAGATATGTGAAGAACCAATGACTTGGTTATCAAGCCCTATACTTATGATTAAAATAATAGAGGATCAAAAATTGCCCGTTCTCACTTCCAGAATTACTGAAGATAATACAAAGGAGCAAAAATATCTGCCTTAACTAACAAAAGCCAACTCCAAATTGAGTAATGCCTCAGAGAAGGCATATTGATTCAGAGCTCCCGATGTAGTCAAGTGAGCAAATAATGGAGATAGATCATATCCAGATTCAACATTTGTATGGAAGATTTGTCGTGTTTTTAATCTGAGAAGCTGGCTTTAAATCTATTTCAATATTGGTAAAGAAAAAGGAGGCATATTGAAATGAGTTAGGGCACTTGCAACACCCTCACCAGTGGCTAGACCTCAATTTACTGAGGTGATGTTCTAATGGTATTTGGTTGAAGAAAATTTCCAAAAACACAAGTTTTGTTAAACAAACAATGCAAATTTTGAATGAGAGAAAAAAATTAGTTATCAACTTGATCACTCTTCCAGATTGTCAAAGAGATGTTGGTTCACGATTAGTCCACTAAGCAATATTACACTAGCACTACATACTTCTATTTAGAAACTTCTGTAAGTGTACCTTCATAAAACAAGGGCTCAAGTCAACAGTTGACAACATCTCAGCTCTCTCCCCTAAACACAAATTGGGAGACTTTTCCCACAATAGATGAAGTAATTCCATTGGCATTCTTCCCAACAAGCAGTGCCCTTCAAGATTCACTATCACAATTTTGAATATAAGTTTAGAATGAGAAAGAAGATGGACCATGAGAAACCTGAAGAAAAGATAACATGCAAAAGACAATAAAAATTGCAGAAACCTTAATACAACAGAGTTTGACATAGCAACAACCATTATGTGGTTTTTCTTTTCATGCACTAATGGAGCTAAACAATGAGTGCATGTTCCAAGAGCTGAGAAAAGTCTGTGGAATTTGTTGAGATCCATTTGTTGACAACATTCCACATATAACATTCGACCTTAGTATTATATATTATAAACATCAAACCACAAACATGAATTCATAGTCATGTTTAGGTTAATGGGTTTTTTTTAAGCTGGCATGTGCTGCCATAAGATTGAGATATACAAAGTTTCCAGTGTTCCTTTTAAATTTGACTGGTTTCACACACTTGTTGCTGTTTAACTTTAGGAATAATATCATCAAATCATGTTTCAAGGTCCTAAATGTGCTAGAACCACCAGCATTGAATTAAAAGGCGTCCAAATCTTGTCAGGTCCATAGAGACAGAAAGAGAAGAAGAGAAAATTAAATAGACAGTGTTAGTGGATGTGAAGGAGAATCACTTTATAATATAAGAGCATAAAGGGACAAGTAGAAGGATACTCTGAAATTCTCTTTCCTCAATCAGTTAAATATGAAGATTTAGAAGGAAATGCTTTCTAAGAAAGACAAGAATAGGAAAGAAATACTATAGACCTAGGTTACCATACTGCAAATACTATGTCATTTCATTATAGCCTTCTTTTTTTTTACTTCAGGCTTGTGAAATAGGTCACAAGCTTGTGAAATAATCTTCATTACATGTTTCTTTTACTGAAGAAACATGTTTCTAGATGTGGCACATTATAGACCATTAGACTTTCAAATTGTGTACGTTTAACTTATTCTAAAGCATCAAAATGAATACCAAAAGAGATAACAAAATGAAAATTTGCTGAGTTTGACAAATGCTAGCAATCATAAAGCTTATTTGACATCGGTAACTGCACAAAATAAGGACCTTTCCAACTTCCATGCTACTTACATGGAAATGAAGATGTATCCAAATGATCTCTAGCAAGTTCAGCTGCAAAGGAAGAACCATTTACAGTTGGCCCTCATAACGAATCTCAACAAATAAAGTTTCAGAAAACACTTTATACCTACCAAAGCTGACAAACAGGAGGACAAGAGAGCCAGCCCTTATTTCAGCTGAAAGTTTATCCATCTCGGGAAGAAAGAATTTTGCTTGAGCTCGATTTATTCCATCAACTCCTGTGAAAGAAGTTGATATGCATGCCCGCCTAAATTGATAGACAGCAGAATGCTGTAACCAATGGCATTAGCGAGGTACCCAACAGCAAACAAGATTACAACTCACTGGATGTATTTGCACAAAATAAGAACTTACTGCCTCAGCACCTGCGGTATTTGATACTGGCCTTGCCAAAATGACACACAGAGGAAAAACACTCTGGACCTGTGATTCATCGTTCACAGTTGCTGGCACAGATATTGCCATTTGAATCCTAAAAAATTTAGCCACAGTAGTAAACCAAAGCTATCTAATTGCAAGTATATATACATTGATGAAATCAATGTCACTAAAAGTCATCGCTTGGTTGGTTAACGCGATGAAGTGATGTGGAGCAAGAGGTTATCGTTTCATGGCGAAGCCGTGTGTTTTGGTGAAGCGTGGGCTACAAAAAATTACACATAAAGTGATCCCAACAAGAAGCGGCTGATTGTTTGAATTTCACCTTTAAGGACTTAAATTTTTTTGGATAAGTAAGGTATTTTATTAATAGAGGTATTTGAATTTCACCTTCAAGGAGTTGGCTTTATTTTGGGGATAAGTAAGGGTATATTTTATTTTTATAGTTAAAAGAAGTCAAGGTATTGTATATTGGTTGCTCAAACTAGTTATTTTAATTGAAATTTGCTTATTATAGTATAAAATTAATATACATTTTGCATTTTTTAATTTAATGAAAATTGTGCGTTTCACTTAAAAAAGTGTGCACTTCCATTCGCTTTTCGCCTCAAACCTTGTGGACCTCGTCACTTTTTGCTTTAAAACAATGGATGATATTATAGGGTGATATGATCAATAACACGTATAATATTTGATCACCAACTACAGACTGAACTAAATTGTGTTTCATCAGCTATTTCAAACAGTAGTCAGTAAATTTTGCCTTCTACTTAGACAAACTTGGCAACAGTAAATAGGTATGTCTTCTAATATTACTTTGCACCTATAAGGTGTAAGTACCCATGAACAAATGTTTGAAAGAAAAATGTTTACCAAAGAGTCAAAGTGTAGTGCTATGAAGTATGAACACTGAATCAGATTGTGAAGACCTATATTATCACTTGGGACTTGTTTGATTTAGACCACTGAATCATTTCCTGATCATCTATACAAATTCTTTAAATTTAATACAATAATAATGACTTAGCAGCAACTATAATTGTGAAATAATTCAAACAAACCCAATAGAATAGAGTAAAGGAAGCATGTCTCCCCACATATTTAGAGCTTCACTTCCGAATTAGCATAGACTATATTACGGGACAATCAGAAGTACCTCAGAGCCTAGAGCATCTGAGCATATGAGACATAACCTTGCATATGGGGAAATTTGGGAGTGAAAGCAATCACAATCAAAATATACCTCTTTTTGTGCTTTGCTTGAATTTTGTAATGTAAACATCTTTGAAGGAAGGAAGGCTGCATGATATTCTACATTCTGTTAGAAACATCTTGCACGAAATGCCAATGATGAATGTATAATTAACACTTCATAAAAGTGCAAGACCAATTACATTAAAACTCGTAACAGTTGGCAGCCAGAAAAATGGGAGGGAGTCAGGACCAAAAACATCCCCTCAAAATCGTGGTTGAGAGAAAGATAATAATCTTGAGTATGCTTTTATCAAAAATGCTTGAACTCACAGAAGATGCGTATATATAAGACATCAAGCTGAGAAGAATGATAATAGTCTTGAGTATTACCGGAAACACTTCAACTTAAACAAGATGTGCTTATTTAAAATGAATGTTTGATGCATGTAAGCAAAAACGATAAAACCAACAATCTTTCCAAGATCATTAATATCAACAAGGAAACTAATGCCAAAAATGTTAGCCTTGAGGAATAGGTAAAAAGTGGTCTTTAAGTATATTACATTTCTAACGGCACGACGTTGGAGAATGTTGTAGAGTTCAACAGGTTTGCAATAAGTTGAAAGGCTTTCTTCAGCAGCAATCCTCTCCTCTGCTGACAAATGTGTAGCAAAATCTTGCCTGCACATTGAGTCCGTAACTGTAGAATAACTGCAGTAGCAAGTGTAATGCCTGTTCCACAAATTATAATATAACAATCAATATCCTTGTTTCAGTAAGTGCATTGCAGTATTTTAAAATGTAATTATTGACAAACATAATTATAAGACCTCAAATGCAGGCACAGGGAATATCTTACGTGGTTTCACGAGCCACTAAAGGTATGCCTGGCATCCTTGTCACACAGTATTCAAATGTATATTCATAGTTCTTTCAACTTCACTAAATTCAGAAATTAAAAACATGTGAGAAAAGAATCATAAAGCACATGACATAATGGGCAAAAGGAAAGGAAAGATAATGGTAATATCTGATTCAGATTTCTCCTTCAGATTGTACATGAGTCTTATTTTACTTCCCTCTTTTCTTCGAATGGGGGGCGAGGAAGGGAAAGAGAGGATATCCAGAACAATTGTTCTCATTTCATTTGAAAAAACATAACCATGAAGTCTCACTATACCAATTTATGGAAACAAATAGCCACAATTCAAATGCAACCTAATAACCATATTAAGAAAAGGATACAATGAAGAATATGGGATTACATGTTAGGAACCTTGAAGCAAAGAACCAATAGGAACCTACTGGAACTTAACATGTGAATGGAGCTTAACATGGCAACTGGTGTGCAGTTACTTCATCAAGCGAAAGGGACTATACTTGTGGCTATAGCAAGATAAAACTTTGTTCTTTGGTTTTATAAAGAAAGGGGGAACCACAGCAATACACCATTGGAACTCATGTGCAAATGCTTTAAGCGAAATACAGGAGTCGTCAAAAAGTAGTATTCCTGAAGGAAGAATAAGTTGCTCATAATGGTCAACTGCAATGAATTAGCAAATAAATGTGATACTTCAACAGTATTAATTACTCAAAAAGATCAGGAATCATTCTCTCCCTAAAAATCAAGACTGATTCACAAGAGAGAGAGGGAGGGAGAGAGATTGATCCGCAACATTTTTGTCCTTATGTAGAATATGAATGAGTCTCCCATATAGTGACTTGTCAAAAAGAGGGTGTCTCTCATATAGTGATCCAAGACCAAAAGGGAGGAAAAGAAAATTATGGAGATCACGAAGATGTTCCCGCAATGTTGATTCATGGGTTAATGAAACTATCTTTTTTCGTCGAGGTCACAGTTCAAACAAAATTTTAATTTTTTGCATCTGATAACCAGTCAACTCTTCTAAACTTCCAAATTTTTGTTTCCCTCTCCCTCCCACCCCAAATATTCTTCCTAAACTAATGCAGATGTGCCCTTCACTCTCTCCCCTGCTTAGTTCCCACTACCTTTCTTGAAAGACAAGTCTGCCAGCGATGTCCCACCCCCACCTGACACCAGACCAAATTTCTCACAAGTGAGCAATTCCATTTCCTTGAAGCAGAGCAAACTACTTCTGCGCAAACTTAACCCAATGGAATTATCAATCTAGCGTAAATCAATCAATAGCTCATCACATAAATCATTCCAGCACAAATAATTGCTGAATTTGTTGAAAAACTTAGATCAAACTGAACTATAACTTCGCCTAGTTCAGGTCAGCCTCCAAAACATGCATGGAGGCAAGACACCTTTTTCTCTGTAACATCTAATACTTTTCTAGATTCCCTGCTTCTCAATTAGTTCCTGATTTAAAGATGAGTGTCTGAATTCATATAACGAAGCTGGTTTTGACCCTTCACTCACATGAACTACATAGAGATACTTTATCACTAGAGACTATTTCTTCAAATTTTGCAGATCAATTGAAAGCTATAATCAATTTGCTGTTGAACAGTTGCTAAAGTGCTTATCGGGTTCGATAAAGAAACATTAATTATCAATAAAAAAGTTATCTTTTTTTCACATACAACCTAGGACTGTGTTTAACTTTTTTCTTCATTATATTGGTGGTGTTCGAGCCCGCTAGCGCGCACCTCCAATTCTTGCTACCCCTACAAGCACACCCACCCAGTAACTTAGCTCGCCAAAGCTTAGCATATGCAAAGAATTCACCAACCAATGATAATTCTTAGGAAAATAATGATATATATATATATATATATAAAAATTGATTGCAATGTCTAGAACAATTAGATAAAGGAATTAGGGATTAGAGACAAAGAAGAGAAAATGTGGAGAGGAGAGAATGAAACTTACTGTTCGATTTCGCCGGAGAAAACGAGTTCGCAGCTGGTGGTGGACGGTGGCTCCGTTCAATCGAACCGCCGAGAAGAAGGAACGGTGGCGTCGTTTGAAATTGGCGGACCAAAAATCGGTCGGATATTTTTGGATCCGTATTCGGTTTTGATTTGTTTGACCACTCAACCAGAGGCGTTCTTGGGCATGGGTCAAACTTTTAACATGGAGCAAAGAACAATGTGTAAGTTATGACTAATTTGACCACCCCGAAAATAAAGCGGCACATTTTATAATTGTTGTATTATTTAATACTAGTAATCAAAAGTGTTAATTGACTACATTGTTCACTATCTGTGCTTAAATTCTGAAAATCGATAGATTGGTAAGAATTTTTAATAAATTGTATAGATCAAATATTTGACAAAGAAAGAATAATTATCGCTTTAAAAAATTTAAGACATTAAGCTTATGCTTAGTGTAATTATCAATTTATATAAGCTAATTGTCACTAATACACTTCTACGTAATGTAATTATCAATTTACGATCGAATCGAACCTAACATTACTTAAGGATACTACTAATGCACTTATACTTAGTGTAATGTCAATCTATAAGCTAATTATAACTAATACACTTACTAATTACTATAAGCGACAGAAAAAAGTTTGTCGGTACTGCTGCATCGGTAAACAACTGTTTTTTAGTAGTGTGTATAGTATATAAGCTAGATTTGATATCTATACATACATACATATATATATATATATATATATATATATATATATATATAGTGATTTCTGAAAATTTCTCATTAATTATTCTACCTACTAATAATCACTATATGTATATCTTATATAGCTTATATACTATACACTTGGTGTGTATATCTTATATAGCTTATATACTATACACTCGGTGTGTGTGTATAGATATATGTATATATACTAAGTGTATAGTATATAAGCTATATTCGATATTGAATATCGAATATTAAAATTTAGGATCTTAAATCAATTAAATATTATGTACAAACACACACACACACACATATATATATTCTTTACTTAAAAGCTATTTATAATTTACACACACACACATAAATATTATTAAATTTATATTTTAATTATTTTAAAATCGTTTTTCCGTCCGAACTCGGTCGGAAATATTAATTATAACTTATTTCGGTTGGTTAATTAAATATATATAATTTTTGTCTTGGGCGGGAAATAATTATTTCAAACTTTCCGACCGAATTCGGTCGGAAATTTGGAAAAATTTTAATAAATAATTATTTGTTACATTATATGCAAGTATGACCAAATATTTGACCAATTTCCGACCGAATTTGGTCGGAAATTTGGAAAAGTTTTAATAAATAACTATTTTTGTACACTATATACAGGTATGACCAAATATTTGACCAAGTTCCGACCGAAATCGGTCTAATTTTTGATTTTTTTGCTGTCGGAAAAAATTTTGTTAACTTTTGCGACCAAATACTTCATTTCCGACCGATTTCGATCAATTTTTTTTGCGATCGATTTCGGTCGGAAATTTTTGGACGAAAAAAGCCATTTTTCTAGTAGTGTATATAGCGCACCCTTGTACTGAAGTTAGCACGGCATTATCCTCAAAGGATGGTCTTGGCAAAATATTTCTAGTTTTTACGGTTTTAACAAAATATTTCCCTTTTTTACTTGAACATCATAGTTCTTCAACCTTTAAAGCTTGAAATTCTTGTTTGAGAGTAGAAAATAAAAGTTAATCATCGATTACTGCTAAAACCATTTGAATATTGATAATTTGTGCTTAAACTTTTAGTTCAAATACAGATTTTGGTGATTTACTGTAAAAATATCAAAACACAGATAAATAGAGAAAATATAGCATCAACTCCCCAGACCCGCCAGTACAAAAATTCCTGAAGAGCAAAAGTATGACAATCCGATAGACTTCAATGAACAACTTAACAGATAGGCGGAGTAATTGTTGGGTTTTCAGGCATTAATATGGCTTTAAAAAGGGTGAATGGGAAATAGAGGGAAATGAAATTTTAAGTGAAAATTTAAGTTTTCCTCCTTGACAAAGGGACATTGTCCCATATTGGAAGAGAAAAAGGTTTTTGATGAGTATATAAGCAATTGCTCTTCTTCTAGCTCTTAAAGAGTTGAGAAGAAGGCAAGCCTCGCGCCGTCGTCGTCGTCGCTCGACTTCGGCTTCGGCTTCAAGATTCATATACTCAATTGATTATTATTGAATATGACCTAAAATCAACACCCACAAGATGGCTAACTCGAACATATAGACGACTAAACTAAGAATCACCGAGAGAAGACTAGCATCACTGATTCACAACTAACAAACGACTAACTAATACCGCTAACTCAAACAAACGAGTAACCAAATTGACAAGTGATTATGCCAAAAAGCTGAAACTTTAGTTAATTATCACGACGAGCTAACATGAACTAATAGAAACTATACTTGAAGTTTACAAACTTGAATCTATAACTAATTTCAAACCACTCGCAGAAGAAAGACATAAAATTGATGAACGATCTCAAAATCAGTCAACAAAGAAAGACATAAAATTGATGAACAATGGATTAGGATTTTACCTAAACGCTCGGGCTTCAAACCAGTAGTACAACACGACTAGATTGCGAATCAATCTCCACGCCTATCTATCCCTTAATTTTCCTGTCTTCCTTCAATTTAACCTTAAAGGGTAAGTAGCATAATGAAGATTGAAACTTTAACAAGACTCCAGTACTAAAACTGCATACTCAACAGTTTCATAAAAAGAACAGTTCGTTTGCTGGTGGAGAGACAGAAGCCTACAAAGTACTACTCTCATATTTTTATTAATTGGAAAACTATATCAAAATTTAAGGTTTTTTTTGGTTGAAAAAAATTAATGTTAAATAATGCTTGGCTCTGCAACAGACACAAAAATACTCTGCACTACAGGACTTAGTTGTGGTGCAACAGAAACCAACGAAGATGAACAAAGATGTAAAGATTTAATTCAGAAAACTATATAACAGTCCATTACTCATAACGTTAATTAGGGCAAGACATTTGGATACGGTGGTCAGTTGATTAGGGCAGCCCAAATTTAGTAGACCATAAACACAAGAATCTGGAGAAAAATAAACCTATATGCTGTTGTTTCATTCCTAGACATATATGATATTCCTGAACATATATAGGTACAATTGCATACTCGTTTGCACCCATCTAAACTCTAAAATGATACATAGAGAAAGCAATATTCCAATCTAATTCGGTCAAATAGAGAAAGCACTACAAGCAAAATTTCTTCAGTCTAATTCGGTTTACAAGTGCATAATTCTTTTAAGTTTAGGGAGCTAATTTTTACAGAAAAGTGTAGTTTTACAGTTGTGTACCTCTCAATAAGGCAAAGAAGGAAGATGAACCGAATAAGGCCAACACTGCAATGGTCGAAGCATCAGCAGCGACAGATTCGAACTCGGCAAAACAGCTAGGAACTCGACTTCTACTGCTTGTGCAAACCAGAAAAAAAAAAGTAGAGTTTTGAAATCGATTCTTACTTCCTTTAGAAATTCCAGTTCTTTTGTGTTTCAAGCTTTTGGGATTTTTAGATCTTCACTTAACTTATCCCAGCTTTTGTTCCAGCTGAGAGGGAGTGTGTATTTTCTGCTGAGAATAGTGTGTAGGTCTGTGAGGGTGAAGAAGAAGGAGGAGAGGCGGCTCGGTTTCCGGCGGAGATGGGGGGAGGCGTTGCGGCTAGGTTTCCAGAATGGAGAAGATGGAAGAGTCCCAAAAAAATCTTACGGTTTTTTCACCGGGGATCCGGTCCGGTCTTACAGTTTGTAGGGAAAGATTTGTTTTGATTGTTTTATTAAAATTAGTTGTATCGTATTGTTAAATCTATTGTGCGGAACAACTTCAGTGTGTTGGGATTGTTTTTTATTTTTATTTTCAGTTATGCCCTAACTTATTATTCCACAATTCTATTTTACTCTTTACCTTTTTCTCTATTTTAACTCTAAATCTCTAACCTGTGACTTACTTTGTTTTTTTTCGAGAACTTCTGCCACTATGTTAAAGGTATTTTACCATCTTCTGTTTTATTTTTTCTCCTAATTTATTTTTAACTCAATTCTAATTAGTTGTGCTCTTTTTTCTTGCCTTCTTCTGTCTCGCTCCTTTATTCTGATTTCTTAAGGTGTTTTGCCTTCTTCTGTTTTATTTTTTTAAATTATTTTTATGCATATTTTTTAATAGATTTAATATTTAAACAATTCAAGGTATTTTAGTCAACTTATCAGTTACAATACAGAACAGTACAGTCAAACCAAACAGCAAAATATCATTTAACAATAACAAACGATACATTTTATCCAAACATTGTATTTTTAAAACGATACGATACGATACAATACAATACATTATAAAAACGACGGGGAAAATAATCCAAACAGAGTGTTAGAGAATGAAAGGGGGAAATTGTTTTTAGTGAGGGCAATTGAAACGACGTAGTTTCGATGTTAAACTACGTCGTTTGGGTGGCCTGGGAATAAAGGGTTGTTGGACCGGGTCAGGGATTGGGCTTTAGCATAATTATTTATCTATTTTACCTAAAATTGACTAATGACTTAATTAATTAACTAACCGAAGAATGCATATTTGATTTTTATATGTTTAAATAATGCAGGTAATATAGCATATGTAATTAACATATGCTATATTCATATATTGTTGTTGCTAAAACTTAAAAAATATTAATATAGCACTACATCTATACTAAGTGTGTATATAGTATATAAGCTATATTTGATATAACATTAGCTATATATATATATATATATATGTGTGTGTGTGTGTGTGTGTGTGTGTGTGTGTGCGCGCGCGCGCGCGCGCGCGTGTGTGTGTGTATGTTCATATCGCTGAAGATATTTTCTTATTGAGCCCTATGTATACCTTGTGGTTTTATCCTTTATTACTTGACCATAAAGTTGATAAATTAAAGGGAGTCATGGGGAATGTTCTTTTCGCAACTTCAGCATTATTTGTGTAGTGACCTTCCCGTCTCTTCTTTCATCATGATTCTCTAGATGTTGTGTTGTTCTTGTATTAAGGAATCTTTGATATTACAATTGCATTTTACAAATCTAGTCACTTGCTTTATTTCTGCAGGACTTGTTATTTTCTTACAACATTGGAGTAGATAGATCCGATGAGATGACAAAAGTGTTGGGCAAATCTGCTGCAAGTGTGGGTCTCCGCCTTCCTGATGTTTATCAGTCTTGAAAGTTGGTGGGTTATCGCCATTTTCTTTTCCATTTGCTTGTCTATGTAATGGTTTGGTAACAAACACGTTTTATGCTGTGAAATTTATGGCATATTCCTATCTAAAGCATACCTACGCATGTGTGCTTCGAGGCGGATCACAGAGCTATGTAGAATTGGACTATCACACCCTCTATTCTAGCTTATTTGTTTGAAATACTCTACCTAGTAGAAAACTTCAGGGTCTGGTTATAAACCAACTCCCTTCCCCCTGGAAGAAAGGAAGCAACGGCTAGTACGCTAAGCTAAGATCAACCAATATTTGAACTGAGAGAAGAGGGGGTGGGTGGGGGGGGGAGTGCTTTGGGATATGAAATTTAATACCTACTCAAGCAATCTGAATTTGACTATGCATTATGGACGGTATATTGAATTGGAGAAGTTCATGTATTAAAAGTTTTATTTATTCTTGACACACCTGAGATGATAGTCCAAGGTCTTGTCTTCTATATTCCAAATCATCCTTTATTAGGCTGTTTGCTCTCCGTTTTCTGGAAAAGCCCCTCCGTTGCAGTAAGTTGGCAGCATTGATGGCATTTGTCATTGAGTTAAAAAACCACTTCTTTTCTTGAAGCACATTAATAATGGTAGTTTGAGAGAATAAGTTGTGGGTTTGGCTTATATTTCATATACCAGCTGGGGATAAATTTTAGGCTTATACTTCTCCTTTTCACCGCTTTTCAAGCTGGAGGAAATGACTGAATGCACTCCTAGCTTGACCAAAGAGAAGGAAAAGGAATCCTTTAAAATGGTTTAGAGAATATGTCTGCAACTTGAAGCTCAAAAGGAATACAGTATGTAGTGAGTTGTAACGACACAACTGGTCGTTTAGAGTATCAGCACTTTGCTCGGTATCTTGAGGGCTCGGTCATCTTCGCATGATGTATTATGACTTGCGTAAATCGTCAGTATTGGTTTTCGAGTTATCCGAAATCGATTTGGAAGAATGAATTGAGTGAAACTAGTATAGTTGGACTCTAATTGAATGGGTTGTCGGATTTTATGAGTTTTGTCGGGTTCCTAGGCGTGGGCCTGGGTGTGATTTTTTGGCCAGATTTGGGATTTGATTTAGGATTCGATCTTTACCATTTGAAATTTATTTTCTTGGGCTTTATTTGACGTATTTGAGTTGTTTTGAGCCGTTCGGAGGTCACTATGCGCATGATGGCATTTTTGGAGCATCGCTTGGGTTGCTCGGTATTGTTATTGGCTTATTCGAGGTAAGTATTTTGCCTAACTTTGTTGAGGGAGTTTCTCCTCCTATTTGTCATTATTTGCTACATGCGGGGGTGATACATATATGAGGTGACGAGCGTATATGTATGTGCCAGGGTTAATCATGCTCGGGGGATGGATTATGTTATATTTGTGTTTGTAGGATTTCGTGACCTCCTGCTTCATGCCTTACTTGACTCTTAGATACCAAGAACATAATATTAAATGATCGAAATCAATACGTATCTTATTATAACTTGATCAAAACTTATTGCTACGGTCGATACTTTGAGATGCTAGATTCTATACTTGTGTTGTTGATAAATTGTGAAATTTGTGAAAGTACTTGAATTAATGGCCCTTGAGGGTTCATTGAGTCAATGTTGGCTTGTGAAGTTGTGATTGTGAATTTGTTGGAATATTCATTGAACACTCTCCTCGATGTTATTTATACTTCCTGCCTAGTCATTTTATTGACATTCATGTGTTTGGTAAGGAAGAGTGTAAAGCACGAAGGGTGATGCCGTGCCATTTTATATTCATTATCATATGAGGAAAAATGTAAAGCACGAAGGGTCATGTCGTGCTATTGTTTATACATTATCATGTGAGGGAGAGTGTAAAGCACGAAGGGTGATGCCGTGCCACATTACTGAGAGTAAAAGCACGAAGGGTGATGCCGTGCCACATTTGTGATGACCCAAAAGCTCATCTTATTAATTTAAAAGCAATTCTGTGTTCTGAGGTTTTTAAAAACCTCCTTTTATTTCTCCTCGATTTGCGTGCCTAGTCCAGGCACGATACCGGAAAGCTTTCATGTGAAATTTAAGAAAAATATTAAAATTTGCCTTTAAAATTGATTAAAGTTGACTTTGGTCAATGTTTTTAGTAAACGAACCCAGATCTGTGTTCCGACAATCCCGGGAGGTCCGTAGTAAAATATGGGACTCGGGCGCATGCCCGAAATTGAATTCCGAGGTCCTAAGCCTTAGAAAATAATTTTTGAAGAAAATTGTTCTGCTGGTTAATTCAAGAAATAAAGAAATGAAATAATATGTGAAATTTATGATATCGGACCCGTATTTTGCTTCCGAAGCCCGGAACAAGTTCGTGATGTTATTTAAGTCCCATTTGTGAAATTTGATGAGAATCGGAGTTGATTTGATGTAATTCAGACATCCGATTGAAAAGTTAGAAATTTGAGTGTTCTTGAGGAAATCTTGAGTTTTGAGGTTAAATCTGTAGATTTTGATGTTATTTTGATGATTTGATTGCACGAGCAAGTCCGTATGATGTTTTTAGACTTGCGTGCATGTTTGGTTTGGAGCCCCGAGGGCTCGGGGGAGTTTTGGATAGGCCACTGAGTGATTTTGGACTTAGGAAATTGCTGGTGTGTTGCATCTGGTGTTGCAGGCCTCAGATCTCGCAAATGCGAGATCGGGCTTCGCATTTGCGAAGTCAATGGCCAGCCCCAGATCTCACATTTGCGAGATTTTGGGTCGCAATTGCGAAGCACCCATTGTCGCAAATGCGACATTATTTATCGCATTTGCGATATTTTCCCGGAATTCTCAGGGTTCGCAAATGCGAACTCCGTTTCGCAAATGCGAGACCCGCAACCTGTTATATCAGATTTTTGACGGGATTTTCATCATTTTTCAATTCTCTCAAACTCTAAACATCCTCAGGCGATTTTTCAAAGACCCAAACTTCTCCAAATCATAGGTAAGTGATTTCTAACTCATCTTCTTCAATCTAATTCATCTTTTTACATGATTTCATCTCAAAATCTAGGGATTTTCATGGGAAATTGCGTGTTTTTTGGGTAGAGACTAGGATTTTCAAATTTTGGGGATTTAGACCTGGATTTGAGGTCGGATTTCAAAACATTGGGTTCGTGGGTGAATGGGTAGTTGGGTTTTGGTTCGAACTTCGAGTTTTGACCAAGCGGGCTTGGGTCGATTTTGGACTTCTAGGGAAAACATTGGGAAATCTATTTTCATGCATTATAATTGGTTTGTTTAGCATTTATTAATGTTATTGAATTGATTATGGCTAGATACAAGTGAATTGGTGGTGGAATCGAGAGGTAAAGCGGTGATTGAGTGTTGAATTACCCGTTGGCTTGAGGTAAGTGGTTGGTCTAACCTTGACTTGAGGGATTAGAGATCTTTGCTATGTGGAATTTCATGTGTGTGGCATATAGGTGTGGTGGCGAGTACCTATGCGCCACCAAATTATCATTTTAGCATGTTCCCTTCCCCGTTTCTTATTGTATTGTTTCTTGCCTTAATTGC